CCCCCCCTATTCATTCGATGGGGAAGGGGGGGGGGAGGGGAGGGGTGACTTGAGAGCTACACTAGTATCTCACATTGCAAATTCTTTATATAAGACTAGATTCACTGACGAATTGACCCAGCAGTCTTCCGCTCGGTTCACTTTCTGACCGAATGTCTGGCTTGGTTAAGATGGTTCCCAGTTTTTGAAACTGAATCTCTCATCCATACCAAGGGGAAGGAGAGGTATGTCAATTCGACAAATGGCTTAATATGTGTTTGACTCAAGTAACCAGTATATATGAATAATTGGAAACTAGGAAATGTAACTGATAAAATTAAAATTATGCGCCATTTTGTTCTTAGGAGGCCCTGGTTCCAGTGATTCGGGTGTTGGAGACAGTACGGAGACAGCAGTTGAGCGCGTTCACCGTCTCATTTCCGAGTTAGGTGAATCTGTCGCCACTGTGGATGAGATTAACGAACGCGTGAGCAACGAACTTGACTGGCGTCGTTTGCACTCTCAATCACGACAAGTTCTCAAGTGGATTGGTCAGTGCGAGTTGATCCTTTGCCAGACAGCAGTCATCCCAACCAGTCTAGCGGAAGCTGAATCAATGCAGACGGATCATGATAAATTTCAACCGGTACTGAATGATGCTCACCCTGAAGCAGTTCAGTGTGCAGCTAGAGCGTCGTATCTCCTTCAGTCTGTTGCTGCGGACCATCCAAGGCGTGGGGATTTCCAGAAAGTAGCAGAGACTGTTGCTGAACGTTGGCAGAAATTGGTCTATGCGGCGGAAGAGAAACACAAGCTCCTGATTGCTGCTACTAATTGGTAAGTGTATTCTACTCTCTCTTTCTCATGATTCTGTGTAATCAGTTTATCATTCGAATTCTAGTTTGTCATTAATGAAGCACAGAGAACCATTGCTGAGTTTTTCGCTCGCCAATGTTTTCTAAAAACATGCCGGTGGAATAGAGATAAGTCAGTTTGAATAGGGGGGGGGGGGGGGGTAGAGAAATTAACAGGTTCGCATAGGCTCCATTGCGTTTTAATGTGTACAAGAACTGTGCGCATTATGACTTCCGTTTAGACCGTGTTATTGTCGGCTTAAATCGGTCAATTTTACGTATTGGGCTTTTTATTAAGTAAAATGACTTAAATTTATTTGGAAGAGAACATGCCGTTCTCTGCGGGTGGGCTACACATCAATTAAGTATAATCTGTCTCTCCCCGCATGTCTGGCCGGGTTAATACTCCTCGTAGACACTTTTAAGTTAGTTGACTACAATTAGAAGACTCCTGGTAAATACATTCCTTCCAAGACATGGCTTACATCAGTCAGACTGTTTTAAAGGTTAATGCACAAGAAGAATGTAATCTTACCATGCCCTGAAGTATGCATGACTGTTCGATGCACAGTACTGGAATGCCGGAAGGTGCCTTGCACAGGGTCTAATTACAGCTGGGAATTTTTTTTTCCTGAGTCGACCTATTGATTTTGCAACTGTCAAATCGTTTTTTTTCTAAGAGGCCCTTTTTTAAGAGAACTTGGTGGGAGATCATTCTAAATAGGTCTCGCATGTCAAACCCCAAATCAATCACAGTGTTTCGATTAATTTAGTTGGCATAACTAATTGTTGGCCTATCAGTTCTTATTCTCAGAGTGAAAAGTCTTGAAAGGTTATTTGGGGCAATATCGCCGGATGACTCATAGTTTGCGTTTCTTTGGCATTATGTGAACATAAAGAGATCTCTGTTCTCTTAAGACAGATCTGATTCCCCCCCCCTTAAAGTTTATTTCAAAAGCTCAAGTTAAACTGGGTCTATGTACCTTTATTATTAGTTTTAATTGAATCTGATAATTTTGCACCTTCAAAGTTTGCGCTTCTGTTTATCGGCCTGTTTTGTTTCTTTTAATCCTTATTCAATATTTCCGTTCCATTATCGATTGCTTTGGACCTTTTGAGTGAGAAACCGCAGTACATACCACTTTTCTAAATATATTCTAACTTTAAGTGACTCACAAAACCTTGTGTTATTTAAATCGCAAATAATAGTGATACATTATTGGTTATACGATCTCTACTCGGTTTTATCTAGGTACAAGACCTCAGAACAGGTCATCTCGGTTCTGCGTTCATTGGAGAAGGATTATCGTCGCGAGGAGGACTGGTGTCGTTCGGACAAAGCTCTCAATAGTGGAAATGTAGAATCCTATCTCAATGACCTGCTTAACAAACACGGTGAACAGAAGGAGGCCTTCTTAAAGGCCTGCATTCTCGCTAGGTACGTTTTACCTTCCCTCCACCCCCTCCCCTTCCCTTCTGCTCCTTCATTCATTCCTAACACGTCTTCAAGTAGACAACGTTGGTGTGTGTTAGTCATCTTTTCTCTACCGTGCGACAGTCTGAATGACTGTAAGCAGTCTCATTGAATTAGTCATTTTGGTCCTGTTGGATGATTGAATATCTATCTGTCGTCTCTCGATCTTATTATGCATGTAAGCTTAGGTAATAGCGCGTGATAGAAGTCTGTAGTGAACTCTGAAAGTGCTTGGGGTTAGTCATTATCGGCATATAAAACGACAGTGGCAAATAATGTTGAGCTTGACTATATTTGCCAAAATCACTCTTTTTCCAGTTATATTCAAATCTAGACTCTGCGTATTGCACAGTATTTGCAAGTAAAACCAGTATGCAAGTAGTTTGTGTGGAGAGTTTTTTTCCATTTAGGTAAAATTTAGTAAATAAACGAACGCTTATTCATACGTTTGACAACATTAGTAGGTATCTATCCCTAAGCGCATTGATTCCAAAGGTTTTACATCCCAAAAATGGTAAATTCATTCCCATCTCTGTGTAAGTCTGATCGAGTTACTTGTGACTGACATTTTTCATTACTATTGAGCAACAATTCCGCACACTTTTAAACACTGTACAAAAGAAATCAGTTGGCACATGCCTTCATTAGGCCACATTTGTCTACTAGAACCGTTGATATAATCGATAATTGTGAGTCAATTATTTTCAAATCCTAATGCTTCTAGGTGAATTGATCATGTGGATAGACATTGAGTACTTCGACACCAGGGGGGGGGGGATTTTGTGGCTTTGACCCTGTGGCTATTTTGAAAGCAGAAGAGGAATCTGGTGCGAAAATTCTAGTCCCGTCCATTACTTTTATTTATTTGTTTAGTTCAAATGGGCTGGTATAAGTGAGTAGCACACTCTATCCCTCCTCTTCCTTTGTCTAATTGGAGACTCCTCCTATCCCTTTTAGACGTACCTCAGAATTGTTCATGAAGTACCTCCACCGTCAACCACCAAACACAGCATGTCGAGTCAAAGTGGAAGAACGCATTCGCGCGGACATTGCCGATCTCATGACCAAGGAGCAGGCAGTCCTGGAGGCTTGGGCCGCTCAGCGTCGTCGTTTCGAGGAGTGTGTTAAATTTGTCACTGTTGAGGTGAGTCATTGCCGTAGTCGGGACGCTCGACATTTTCACAATCGAGGGATGGGAAAAATGTCATGCAATCGGTCTATATTGGCAGTGGGAATAATTAACCTTCTCACACCCTCTTTATCTTTTCATTGGTTGTCTCATAGAGACGGTTAAATGAACATCTGTGATTTGGGAGGCTGGAATTGGGGACTAATCTTTTGTAATTTCCAAGTTTATCGAGGGGAATTCTTTCTTTTGTTTCATCTTGGGCATTGAAATCGTATCATGAATCATCTTATTAGGAGTCAATTTTGGTCATTACAGCTGTTTTAGAAGACCATTAATTAAGTTTATAATAACAGGTCGTCTTCCCTTCCTTTTCTTCATTCCCTCAATCTTATTCATGAAATCGTAGTTTTTTAGCTAGGTAGATCTCTGTTTTGGCTCTATTTTTAAGTTGGCTCTCTTAACTACCCTTGACGAATAGTTGCTACTTGGCGTTTCTGACGAATAGCTCTTGTTCAGCCATCGCTCGAGTGTTCGGCTTTAATTACAGTTTCTTCCAAGTTGAATGATTTGTTTGAATTCTTTGAGTGTGTCTATTTTTCTTTGAAGTGTAGCATCCTCTTGAAGTAACTTACTCGAAGTTACATTCTCTTTCTTCCATGAAAATGTGACCTAGGGTAGAAGCTACTGTGTGTGTGTGTGTGTGTGTGTGTGTGTGTGTGTGTGTGTGAAACTACTTGTTTCAGTCTCGCTGGGGATCACTTCAACTCGCCTTCCTTCCCCATCTTCTGGCTTCAGAGCATATTATACAAGCTGTATAAACCGTTTCCACTTCTCTTTAGAGGTTAAACAGCTCCAAACGTGGCCCTTACGCTCTTTATTCCCCCCCCCATCCCCATTTTTACTTACCTTTGTATGATTCACAATAGTCTTACATTCCACCAAAACAGCTGTTTTTCCACCTTAGGATAATGAAGAGAGGGGCTATCCTTGTGTTTAAATTTCCTACAAATGTGCTTGTTGTTTTCGCGTGTATGCGTGTGTGGCGTATTTGTCACCCAGGTATTTGCATGATAAATATCCCAAATTCGGTAGCGTAGTCCTTGCGGCAAAAGAGAGGTGTTTTTCCCCCCGCAGATATTTCCCTAGACAAAGAAATTGCACACACAAAAACTTCTTTTGTATTGGGAAGGAGTGAACGTGTCCAAGTTTTGTTGAATTCTTTTTTTTTTTGATAAGTCGGAACACAAGCTATTAAGGTAAGCAAATTCAGATGGAACTCCACGTAATTATCTTGTGTGAGAGATGTGTCTCTCATACAAGATACCTTTAGTATCATGCGGGTACTAAGAAGGAGTTATATCGAGACTAACGTTATGGGGGTGGTGAGGAAGGGATTTTGAATTTAATATTACTTCAATCTTGATTGACTGGGAAGTAGTTGATGGTTTCCATTCTCTATATCCCTTATTGGTGTTTTCCAAAGTCGTTCTGATAACCATTTGTTGGAATCTCATTTATGTAGGATTTGAATAGTACTGGAGCGTGCTAGGTGAACATGAGAAGTTGTGTACCAATCTTGATAATTTTTTTACCAACGATGAGTTTATTGAAGCATCATCTCTTCTTCATTTTATTCTAAATTTGCTGTGTTTAGGGGAAGGTAAACCGGAGCTAATATCCGAGTATGATGCCACGGATATATACTGAAAATGACTTGTTTTTTGTTTTTAGAATGAGATGTTAGACCTCGTCCGCTGTATCCTCCAATCCTTCGGCGTTCCAATAAAGTCCACCGAAGACTGGAATTTAGCTCTCCCAGCCCTAGGCAAACAATCTCCCCTCTTCCTGAACGTGAAACGCGCCTGCCAGACTCTAAAATCCCTTGTCGACACGGGAATAGGAGCCCACCATGCAGTGCGTCTGGCGAAAATGTGCAATCGACTCAACGCCTGCATTGCTCCAACTGAACCATCCAGACCTCCTGAAAGTGAGTCTGTGGCTTCGGCGTCTGCAGGAGCTGTTCCAGCAACCACATCAACTACTACTAAGATGAGATCCACTAGCACTGGTTCTAATAGGTAAGCAATACCACCACCTCTTATTATTTACGTTTTGACTGTTGAAGTTGATTGAGGGCCTGAAAATATTTAGTGCTAATCGTATCAACCATCTTTTTGCAATTTGGCAATTGTGACAGTGTTGATCTTGATGAGATGTCAGTGCCACTGAGAATTCATATGAGTGGTTTATCCTTGAAGCAATCTTTTATTGTGGTTGGAAATGTGCATTTCAGCTCGTCCCCAAAGTGTGAGGGCTCTATGGCCCTATTGGAATGAACTAACTTTCTTTATAACTCTTTAACTATTTAGCAGCATTCATCAAGACTTTTCATTAATCACTCTAATTCAACCCGGTATGTCATTTGACATGTTTCAGCCTGCCCATTGCACAATCCTAACCATTCTATTGCCCCCTTTCAGAACCTCCGTGTCAAGCACGGGTAGCACAGCAATTGCTTCATCCACCGACACCACCCCAAGCATCTCCTCAGCAGTTGGGCTGACAGAAGAGCAAAGAAAGATGATAAACAGGCGTCAGAATATCCTGCGTGAGCTGGTGACCACTGAACGGGCCTATGTAATGGCCTTGCGAACATGTTTGGAGACTTTCTATGTTGGAACTATGAACCCACCGGCTGATATTCCGGTAAGCAGCAACGCATGCTCGTTTCAGAATTGGTGGTGTAGGGAGTTCAACTTTCTTTGTTTTCTAATGTGCAAATCAAATTTTGTGGTTTTATGAACTCTGATGGTTTTGAGTGGGCAAGTAAAACTAGCGTCATGCTTTATTATTTCCTCTTAGTATTTAAGTGATTTATAATGAAAAGGGGAGGGTGGTGGTGGTGGGGGGGGGGTTGTCATCTTATCATTATTAGGTCGTAGCAAGGACAAAAGATTGGGATTTGCTGACCTCTAAGCATTTTTTTATCAACAGTTGCTTCAATTGCAATAGTTCATTTTAGGTTGTACAACATCAACTGGGATTCGATTAATTGTTTGTGCTAACTTAACTTTAGTTAAAGGGAGTGTTATTTATCTTTTATGGGATATCCTTTTCTGTGTTCAAGTGAGCATACGAAGACATTATTCATTCTCAGTTTCCATCTCGAGTGTCTTGTGCAGTGCGTTGGAAGTTGAACACGAAAACATCAAAACCATTCAAAATGCGTCGCCGATCGTATTGGTTACCACGTTACGTGACCATTACCGATAGACATCCAGTTGACCTTAGGCAACCTTTAGCCAAACGTGCTCGCTCTGTCTCGGTGTCCTTAAACACTGCTTCCCAAGTATGGATTTTTGGTAGAATTTGAAGGCCACTGTCCTGCCCTTAATTGACTCTGTTATAACAACATTTGGCTGTTGAAATGCATTTTTTTAAATGCAATTTTATGAGCGCTATTCCATTACACTTGACTCTCGTTGTTTGTTCTCATGCCTCGGAATCCAGACGTGCATGTACACACGCACACGCACGCACGCATGAGGATGTGTTAAAGATAAATTGCAGTCAATTTGATAGTTATCATTAGCCCTTTAGTTGAATTCAGGCTTCATAGAGAGGAGGGGGAACATCAAAGTGAAAAAAACGTCGAGAGATTGGGGGGGGGGTACAGAAGAGTGTTTCAAAGATGTAAAAGAGACGGACACA